TCGAAGAAATCTCGTGATACATATACACGGTGAACGCGGAGTGCTCACATTCACAGTTGAAGTTTTCAGTATGCAAACATATCATTGTCGCTTACACATGCCACACGCGTCTCTCGTCCGTCTCAAGACTGTATTAACGGTGCGCGTCACTGAAAATGGAGGCCTTTAGTGCACATACTTGACTCATATCAGTACTATTACTATCTGAATATGTCTAACTACATGTATTACCAAAATAATAATGTATACTATATCCACTTTCTGTACGTATACATGTATATGCCAGACATTTAACTGCTTCTACAGAAAAAAAGACGCCTTAAGCGCACTTACTTGGCACACTTTAGCATTGCTATCCGAATATGTGCAACTATTACCAAGATATTCATGTGTACTGTCCTCACCCTCTGTACATGTTAATGGCAGACCTTTAACAGTTTTATGTATCTCCAGATAGTGGAGGCTTTAGTGCACATACTTGACACACATTAATACTATTGCTATTTGAATATGCATAACTATTACAATATATCCATGTGTAGTCTATTCATATTCAATGTTTGTGCATGTATATGCTGAGGGATGAATAAAAAGTTTATTAAACAAACAAAAAAAAAACGGTGCGCGCCAAAGAGTTACCGGGTTACTAAACTCATCAAAATCAGATCTTACTTTCTAAACTTGTCTGTCAAACAGACCCTGAAACAAATATATCCACGAAAGCCCATGCAAGACTAGATTGCAAGTCTAGATTTCCACAGTTTCTGAAAATAAAGAAAGTCTCAGGGCTCCTTTTCATTATATATTATTTTATTATGAACTGTCTTATCTGTAAAATATCGTCATTTCAGAGACTAGTTGTTAGTCTATTTCTAAACGTTATAAACGATCTGAGGGCATCCCAGTACCCCGTACCGACCTGACCTGAACTTTGACGGACCAATGAAATAACTAATAAGACATCGACGTTAGCCAATCAGAAAACAGGTTTCTCGAGATAAACGGCATTTGTGTGAAACTGAAAAGTTCAGAACCAGGCTACCCTCTGAAAATATTTTGACAATGTTCTGGGTTCAAACTTTTGATACAGAATGATCAAAAACATTCTAGAATGTCTAACTGAAGGCTGAAATGAAATGAGCTATAAAATGTTTTTAGTTCAAATGTGCGTCCCATTGAAGCGAGAAAATGAAGTTATCTTTGACAAAACCGGTCCTATTACCCGCAAGATGTTATTCGGAATACGCCTAGTTAACCTTTCCGACGTTGCATAATATGTTTGTTTGTTTGACGTCATGAGCATCGATCTACGCAGTTGAAATACGATGAAATCCACCAATCACGCCAGCGAGCCTGGCCACCGGTTTCCTGACAACAAGCACGGGTTGCTGAAGACCAATTCTAACCCTGATCTTTACAGAGTCAGGTCAGTATACAGTGTCCGAGTTAGGTGTCCACGTTGACCCAGGGAGTGGTATCTTAATGGGCTAGCACTATAACACCAGTATATATACATTAGTCTGACAAAACTTTAGTTCCCATAGGCCATCTGTATGTTGACTTGCAATCTGACCCTCCGTTACCACTTGCGTAAATACAAAAATCGGGTGGTTTCCAAGTGTAAACATTGTCTTGTCACGGACTTGTCTTACTTCAGAGACGAAAGATCAACACGAGTGACCGAGCTGCGATGCCCATCCTGCAGACGCCTATTATAAGGCCTTACACAGGTACACGTGACCTTATTTCATGAGACAGAAAACGTTATTTACACTTTAAACGAGACGTGAGCAATGCGTGCACCAAACCCATGTACGTGTTACATGATGTGACAGCGACATAGAGCACGAATATCATGTGTTATTAATATGAGGGAGAATAGAAGACGCTGTAGATTATCCCTGTCAATGTCTGAAATATATTCTGATTTATAAATTTCTCCCTATGATGCAGGATAGATTTAAACACCGCCAGCTATTGATAAATCTTTTAAACTCTGATAATCTAGATCTGATCCATCCTGTTGCTGTATATTTGAAAATGTGTTTGCAGTTAGAAATGTGTAAACAGTCGTCAAATTTCAATATGTACAAATTTGTTATCTGCATTTGTACAAGGAGCCTTGAGCCTGAAGTACTAAATAAACAGTCTGTCTGTCTGTCTGTCTGTCTGTTTTTTGTTTGTTTGTTTGTTTGTTTGTTTGTTTGTCTGTCGGACTTTCCCTAATAGATGCAAACCTGGGGCTTTGGATACAGTGCGTTAAAATTAAATATTCCATAAACATGAACATAAGCATAATGTTACACTTATAAAGGAATGTTGATGTTGTTTATTGGTGTGAGCAGTGAATGTAGCTGTTGTTTATTGTTGTGAGCAGTGTGAGCAGTGAATGTTGATGTTGTTTATTGGTGTGAGCAGTGAATGTAGATGTTGTTTATTGGTGTGAGCAGTGAATGTAGATGTTGTTTATTGGTGTGAGCAGTGAATGTAGATGTTGTTTATTGGTGTGAGCAGTGAATGTAGATGTTGTTTATTGGTGTGAGCAGTGAATGTAGATGTTGTTTATTGGTGTGAGCAGTGAATGTTGATGTTGTTTATTGGTGTGAGCAGTGAATGTAGATGTTGTTTATTGGTGTGAGCAGTGAATGTAGATGTTGTTTATTGGTGTGAATGCAGTGAATGTGAGCAGTGAATGTTGATGTTGTTTATTGGTGTGAGCAGTGAATGTAGATGTTGAATTGTGAATGATGTTGTGTTTATGGGTGTGAGCAGTGAATGTAGATGTTGTTTATTGGTGTGAGCAGTGAATGTAGATGTTGTTTATTGGTGTGAGCAGTGAATGTGTTGTTTAGATGTTGTTTATTGGTGTGAGCAGTGAATGTTGATGTTGTTTATTGGTGTGAGCAGTGAATGTTTATGTGTTGTTTATTGGTGTGAGCAGTGAATGTAGATGTTGTTTATTGGTGTGAGCAGTGTGAGCAGTGAATGTAGATGTGTTTATTGGTGTGATGTTGTTTATTGGTGAGCAGTGAATGTAGATGTTGTTTATTGGTGTGAGCAGTGAATGTTGATGTTGTTTATTGGTGTGAGCAGTGAATGTTGATGTTGTTTATTGGTGTGAGCAGTGAATGTAGATGTTGTTTATTGGTGTGAGCAGTGAATGTAGATGTTGTTTATTGGTGTGAGCAGTGAATGTAGATGTTGTTTATTGGTGTGAGCAGTGAATGGATGTTGTTTATTGGTGTGAGCAGTGAATGTAGATGTTGTTTATTGGTGTGTAGATGTTGTTTAGTGAATGTAGATGTTGTTTATTGGTGTGAGCAGTGAATGTAGATGTTGTTTATTGGTGTGTGAGCAGTGAATGTAGATGTTGTTTATTGGTGTGAGCAATGTGAATGTAGAGCAGTGAATGTGTGATGTTGTTGTTTATTGGTGTGAGCAGTGAATGTAGATGATGTTTGTTTATTGGTGTGAATGTAGATGTTGTTTATTGGTGTGAGCAGTGAATTAGATTTGTTTATTGGTGTGAGCAGTGAATGTTGATGTTGTTTATTGGTGTGAGCAGTGAATGTAGATGTTGTTTATTGTGTGAGCAGTGTGAGCAGTGAATGTAGATGTTGTTTATGTTTATTGGTGTGAGCAGTGAATGTAGATGGTTAACGTTGTATATTGCAGTGAATGTAGATGTTGTTTATTGGTGTGAGCAGTGAATGTAGATGTTGTTTATTGGTGTGAGCAGTGAATGTAGATGTTGTTTGTTGGTATTGTATATTGGTGTGATGTGTAGATGTTGTTTATTGGTGTGAGCAGTGAATGTAGATGTTGTTTATTGGTGTGAGCAGTGAATGTAGATGTTGTTTATTGCGTGAGCAGTGAATGTAGATGTTGTTTATTGGTGTGAGCAGTGAATGTAGATGTTGTTTATTGTGAATGTAGATGTTGTTTATTGGTGTGAGCAGTGAATGTAGATGTTGTTTATTGGTGTGAGCAGTGAGCAGTGAATGTAGATGTTGTTTATTGGTGTGAGCAGTGAATGTAGATGTTAACGTTGTATATTGATGAATGTAGATGTTGTTTATTGGTGTGAGCAGTGAATGTAGATGTAACGTTGTATATTGGTGTGAATGTTGAATGTTTGTTTATTGGTGTGAGCAGTGAACGTAGATGGTAACGTTGTATATTGGTGTGAATGTTGATGTTGTTTATTGGGTGTGAGCAGTGAATGTAGATGGTAACGTTGTATATTGGTGTGAATGTTGATGTTGTTTATTGGTGTGAGCAGTGAATGTAGATGGTAACGTTGTATATTGGTGTGAATGTAGATGTTGTTTATTGGTGTGAGCAGTGAATGTAGATGTTGTTTATTGGTGTGAGCAGTGAATGTAGATGTTGTTTATTGGTGTGAGCAGTGAATGTAGATGTTGTTTATTGGTGTGAGCAGTGAATGTAGATGGTAACGTTGTATATTGGTGTGAATTGCGTGAATGTTGATGTTGTTTATTGCTGTGAGCAGTGAATGTAGATGTTGTTTATTGGTGTGAGCAGTGAATGTAGATGTTGTTTATTGGTGTCAGCAGTGAATGTAGATGGTAACGTTGTATATTGGTGTGAATGTTGATGTTGTTTATGGGTTTGAACAGTGAATGTAGATGTTTGTGCAAACAGTTCCTGTATATTTAACATTCGTGCATATTTTACGTTATTTCACATCAGTGTATATTTCGCTTGCATGTATATTCCACATTCATATCAACAATGTCTACGTATACACGCTGTTTGTGAGCAGTGTACAATGTTTATGCCTCTGTTCGTATACACTATAATCTGAAATACAAAACAAAATAACTTGACAGCATGCCGTCCCATTATCTGCCGAACACTGGATCACATAACCTATTGTCGATACAAGCATGCATAAACACATTTAACTTCAGCGTACAAATGCATGATAAGTCAACAAAACAACAACGCACCGCATGATTTGAAATAAATCAACTTACCTAAGAAGGTAATAAATACTCCGAAAACTAAGCGTACATCCATCCTGAGAAATAACCACCCTGATGTCACCCAGACCTGGCACAAGTATCTAACCTTGCAGCCGTGCGTGACGTCCACTGTCTCGTTGATGGTGTAAGTGTGTGTTCTATTGGAGGACTGGTTGGCGACTGCGCGTTTCCCAGTCCCAGCGAACACCGGTAGCCGTATTTACTTACACAAGGCTGTAGTCCCGAGGCGAGGGGAGGAGTAAGACAAGTTTATAGCTTACACGCTTTCATTTAATATAATGGCCATCCGGGTTACTTATAGTGGGGATGGAGATAGGAGTTATATGTTATAACGGAGTTTGTTAATGCATAACGAATGGTCCGTTACAACGGAGTCAGTTATTACAAGTAGCCGATTATAATGAATATTACTAGTTGGTTACAATGGAGTCGGTTATAATGAATAGTCGGTTATAACGAATAGTTTGCCATAATGGAGTCTGTTATAAAGAGCAATCGGATAATATGAGTCGGTTGCAACGAGCAGTCGGATATGATTCGGTTATAGGGAATAACTGTTTATAATGACTATATACGGTTAATAACAGCATCGGTTATAACGAATAGTCGGTTATAACGAACAGGGGGATAATATGGGTCGGTTGCAACGAGCAGTCGGATAATATGAGTCGGTTATAGGGAATAACTGTTTATAATGACTATATACGGTTAATAACAGCATCGGTTATAACGAATAGTCGGTTATAACGAATAGTTTGCAATAATGGAGTCGGTTATAACGAACAGTGGGATAATATGTAGTTGGTTAGTAACATTGTCGGTTATAACGAATAGTTGTTCACTACAAAAATAAGTTGGTTTCCGGAACACTGAAACTGAGAACGTTATAACAAATAGTTGGCTATAACCATGGTGAAAGTCTCCCACCTGCACCGATTATGACCCCCGTCCGTTAAAGGGGTACTGATCAGTGGCTTCCCCAGGCCAGTCTGACACTAAAACCTAGGTCTCATTAACTACCTGGGGGTGGAGTAGCCAAATGGTTAAAGCGTCTGCTCGTCACGCTATAGACCCGGGTTCGATTTCACGTTCGGGTACACTGCGTGAGGCCCATTTCTGGTGTTCCCAGTCGTGAAAAGCGGCGTAAAACCATACTCACTTACCCATTCACCCATTAGCTGCCGCCAGACTGGGCTACTGTCTGTAAGGTCAGCGGATATATCTTTGAGACAATGCTCATAACATTAATTTATTCAACCTAAACAAGCAGACAAAAAGAATTATGGATGCCCATCTGATACATCTATTTGGAAATATGCCCGATGGTTCATTTTGACATTGCTATCATTATAAAATCCACTTATGTAAATATTATTTACAAATATTTACTTTAGTACACAGCAAATGCGTGTACTAGTCCGTCATACAGACCCTGAAGCAAATATATCCAAGAAAGAGCAAGTCTAGAAAATGTTGCAAGTCTAGATTTCCACAGCTTTAGGATCTGTACAAATCTGCTGAAGTCACAAGCCAGCACAGCGCTGGTAATTATCAGTTGATCTCTAGCTGTCACTGGTGTTTAATATTAACTCATAGGAGCTTCCCCCACTACTTCCAAGCCAAGGCATTCTGCTTCTGCCCTGTCCTCTCACTCCATAGTCCATAATACAGACGCTGAAGCAAATATATCCAAGAAAGAGCAAGTCTAGAAAATGTGGCAAGTCTAGATTTCCACAGCTTAAGGGTCTCTGAAAATGAAGAAAGTCTCAGGGCTCCTTTTCATTATATTTTATCTTTTTTACTATGAATTTTTATTCTGTAGAATATGTTCATTTCAGAGACTAGTTGTTAGTCTAATGCGTGTACACACAATTTATGAAACAATGAAGTTCCGTTCGTATCCTTAGAACAGCCATTTATTTTGTAGGCAACTACACTGCATATAATACAACGATTACTACTGATCCCTTGTTGTCTTCCATGTGTATGGGCGGTGGGGTAGCCTAATGGTTAAAGCGTCCGATCGTTACGCTGAAGACCCGGGTTCGATTCCCCACATGGGTACACTGTGTGAAGCCCATTTCTGGTTGCCCCCACCGTGATGTTGCTGGAATATTGCTAAAAGCGGCGTTAAACCATAATCACTCATCCTTGTTTGGTGGTATAAAGCTATACCTGTTTATTTGTCATTCACTTGATGGTCAGTTGATGGATTTATAACACGTTAGTGGTAACTTAACTCGAACTACCTGACAAAGGTTCTCATTTAGCATTTGGGTAATTACTCGACAATATAAATTCAGGTCTGATATGGCAAGAGCATTACATGTGATGCAATATACACATGGATACCCGTGAAGGTCCGGGTTAGAATATTGATCTTCAGTAACCCATGCTTGTCGTAAGAGGCGACTAACGGGATCAGGTGGTCAGGCTCGCTGACTTGGTTGACACATGTCATTGTATCCCAATTGCGTAGATCGATGCTCATGCTGTTCACCACTGTCTGGTCTGGTCCAGACTCGATTATTTACAGACCGCCGCCATAAAGCTGGAATATTGCTGAGAGCGGCGTAAAATTAAACTCACTCACTCACTGTTATCTTGCACAATGGATTTGTCAAAAGATAGTGTTGACGTATGAAGGTTTACTTACACAGACAGAATACATCCTGGTCCCACTTCCTGTCGTAAAGTGCCTGCGTAAAACAACGTCCTGTGGTCAAAAGTTTAACCAATAATACATACATTTCCCTAGCCTTCTCGTTGTAAATGTGTATGTGTAAAATAAGATTCACTTGAGTGTTTTCTGCTAAAAAAACACAGCCATTTTAGAAATTCACTTGAAAAACACACCCAGGTCGACTGAAATGTTTTATGACGTTACAAACTGCATAAAAACATTAATAGATAGATTAATGGTGCCAAAAGTACAAACACATTGTGTGAGATGAGTCAAAATGTTTTCATAACAAACAAGATGGAAATATTTTTCCAATTTGTAAAATAACTGAAATATTATGCCTTCACAACTACACATTAATCATCTTTGTCTATCAATGTGAGTATTTGCCCTTTTAATAGCGTTTACGGGTGGCCCAGCAGAGGTCAAAAATTCTGATACATCATCTCGCTACGTATGGGGAAAAACATAACAAAATGTCACGGGAAATGGCTCTGGATCAGTGCCCCTTTAAGTTGATAACAGTGTTTATCTATACATTCATCCGTCCATTCCTTCCTTCCGTCACTCAACCCTGAATGTTTGTTTATTTGTTTGTTTATCTCCAGTCTCAGCGGTCTGTAAATAATCGAGTCTGGACTAGACAATCCAGTGAATAATAAAATATGCAAGGATGCACATCTCCATGGACATTGACAATCAAAGTCACCGGGCCTATACACCCGATTCGCTGTTCGAATCCCTATGATTATGGACGCTTTTGTTTGTTTGTTGTTTAAAGCTGCACTCAGCAATATTCCAGCTGGTCATGGTCTGTAATCGAGTCTGGACCAGACAATCCAGTGATCAACATCATGAGCATCGATCTACGCAACTGGGATACGATGACCGGTGTCAACCAAGTCAGATTGCTTGACCACCCGATCCCGTTATTCGCCTCTTACGACAAGAATGGGTTACTGAAGACCAATTCTAACCATAATCTTGTGTCCACGGGTGGACATGAATACACTCCATCGAAATACATCCAAGTGGTTTCTTCACAACCTAACGAGATGTCTTCAAAATGATGAAGAATTTGAAGAATTCACATCAAAGACATGTTTTGTAATTACCCCTCGTCAGAGGAGCAACATGTCAAGATAAGATAGGTCTTACGTGAACTTTCCACACAACCGAGGCCAGGTGGGCCATTGAGAGCAACCCTCTCTCGCTCGCAGACACAGCTCGGGGCAACGGCAATACATCCGGCATGTCTGATATCGTTCAATCAGCAAGAAACCGGCATACATAATATAAGGAACTCCACGCAGCCTCGATAAGACTGACATCGCGTCTCTGAAATAAAATATTTTACAGAAAAACAGACGTTTCATTATAGTGATAAAATATAAGAAAATAGAGCCCAGATGCTAGACTTGCACAAGTCTCTACAAATACCTTTCTTGAGCATCACGTACAGAAAATACAGCGATTTAAGCACGAAAGGTATTGATAGAAATATTAAAGGTCACATGCAACCAAAAAATCAAACATAATTAAAACACAATTATCACTTATTCGTGACATATAATATACATTGCTGGTTATGAAAAAACATATAAACAAAATTATAAGCGTACAATCGCAAATCAAAAGTGCAAAATTGTGTACTTCGGTTTACTTCCCAAGAAACGAAGCAGCCGGGATACCGAACCCAGACAGAGCGGGTGGGTGTGCACTCAAGTGTAACGGCTGGTTCATTTGCATATGCCCTCACGGGTCATTGTGTGTGTGTATATGTAGAGATGTTGGGTTTTGTAAATACATGCTCATTTTTTTGTGTATAACATTTTACAATCAACAGACATCTCTTTATTCCATTACTGAAGAGGCCACAGGCCTATAGTACAAAATATAAAAACAATAATGGCATACCAACCAACAGACATCATAACATGTCACACCTGCCTGTCTGTGTAATTACATAATGTGACAGAGACCGAACTCGGGCCATAAATCAATGCATTTTGTTTATGGTGTATATAGCCTGATTAAGTTCAAATTGCATGTGGTCAGTGATAGCAGCTGTGTATTAAATATTGTCATTAGCAGACAGGCAGGCAGACACACAGGTGTCAATAAAACAAGACATTGAGTTTTGTCTGTGACAACGACATATCTATATCACAGTTAGAAATTCTGTCAATGCTAAATAATGACATTGCTTTTAAGTATCGAACTGAGATAGTGACTCGGTAAGAAGAACGTGTGGTGAAATTATATAAACAGTTAATTTACTGTCATAACATATAAAAAAGCTCGCGCCTGTGAGATATCAACTAAACATTAGAAAAATAGCTCACACCAAAGCCTTCACCGAGTATTCACCGGACAACCCGCTTCCAAGCTGCGCGAACCTATTTCACTGCGCACGTGCTATGAGCGCAGCCCAGCTGTTGAAACCCGTTTTCCCCAGAAACGTCGGGGGAAAATTAGTGAAACGTTTGAACTCCGATTTCGCGCGTTTTTTTTCATCGCGTTAATTTTCAACTTTATA